ACAATAAGGGACCCTAGGCTTCTTGGCTGTCTTCCATATGTTGTCTACCTCCGAACGTCCCCAATCCTCGTGCTCTCCCCTCATACATCCCTCAGCCTCCCTTTCTCGAATGTTCCCTCACCCCATTTCCCTCAGCCAATCCCCTGTCATTTCCCTCTAACGGATCCAACCAGTCGCCCCTCTGGGTTCCACCACCGTTGTTTCCCGACTTTTTACCCTTCAAAACTTTCCCCTCCAATCACTTCAGAAGCCCTGCCTCCTGACCAATCCCTGTGGAGGCCTCTTTCCTCCAATCGGAGACCTTGATTTATCCATAATAGAGGTCTTTTGGCTTAGATCGCGTAAATATGTGTCGTTAAAACCCGCCACCACCCGACGCAGCGACATATGTATATATTTAGTCGATCTAACCCAAAAAAACACCTCTATTATGGATATTGATCGTGAAAGTCTGCTACGTGTTAAAGTCAATACGATGTCCCTGATTTGCGTGTTCCCCAATCCATGTGTTTTTCTTTCTGTCTCTCGGTGTAATTCCCAGCATGCATCTCTCCCGCGATTCTTTTCCAATTGACAGCTTCCGTTCCATGTCCTTTTTTCGTGTCCACGTTTCTGAGAGAGACGGAAAATGAAAATGTGCAACTCGTTTTTAAACCATGCTGGAGTTTTGTCCGGTGTGTGTTTTTGTGTGTGTGTGTGCTGACAAACGTGGGGAGCGGGAGCGTAGCAGTTAGCGCTACGCTGCGCTATGAACCTAGCGACTCCCACCGTTCTTCAGGACCTCTTTGACGCTTCGCGGTGGGGGCGGCTGGCGGTAGGGGGGGGGGGGGCATGTGTGGACGTGGTGGGCTGGGGTGAGCAAAGTGGGCCAAGGGTGAACGAGGGGACACGGGAAGGGTAGCTGAGAAACGTCTGGAGAGTTCCCGAAGGGGGCGAGGTTAAGGGCGGAGCCAGAGAGAAAACAGGTGCGGTGTAGCCTGGAACTGTCGAGAATATTCCAGAGGTGGGCGCGGCCGAAGGTGGAGCCAGACCGCGCCGAGAAGGATAAAAGGGGAGCTCCGATCGTATATCGGGGCTGTCTGCAGGTGAAGCGAAACCCAAGTGCTTCGTCTTCGACATCGTGGGTCAAACAACATGCTGGCTGCTCTGACCCGATTATAGTTATCCCGTATACGAGAGGAATAGGCGTATTGTGATCCCGTGTGTAACAAGCGTGAGAGATAGGCGATTTAGTCACGTGTGTAACGGTGTTATGTAATTGTAGAATAAACGTTGTTGCCTCCTAAATAGTGTCTCTGCAATGACTCACTACACATGTGTAATGACTCTGACGACAAGAATATAAGAAGGCCCATTTTTAAATCATTTATATTAAGTTCACTTGCTTGCTTGCGCGCTTACGACCGTGAAAATCTTTCGGTCGTTTTTTAACCCACTTCCCGTGATCCAATCGAGCTGACATTTTGCACACAGACTCGTTGTGCGTGACAATTAATGTTCGTGAAAAAAATCTTCCAAAATTTTACACTTTTTAGGAAAAAATAAATTATATTTAATTACCAATTGCTAAATGGTGGCAGGCAATCATCTGACCCATAGGTGGCAACCATCTCAATCCAGAGGACGAGAGGACTCTAGCCGCCACGCATATAAAGGATTTATAGTGAAAAACTTTGTTTTTACGGGTTAATTTTTCATTAGTTTGCACCATAAGGAAGCCTACTATAAAATGCACAATAAGGGACCCTAGGCTTCTTGGCTGTCTTCCATATGTTGTCTACCTCCGAACGTCCCCAATCCTCGTGCTCTCCCCTCATACATCCCTCAGCCTCCCTTTCTCGAATGTTCCCTCACCCCATTTCCCTCAGCCAATCCCCTGTCATTTCCCTCTAACGGATCCAACCAGTCGCCCCTCTGGGTTCCACCACCGTTGTTTCCCGACTTTTTACCCTTCAAAACTTTCCCCTCCAATCACTTCAGAAGCCCTGCCTCCTGACCAATCCCTGTGGAGGCCTCTTTCCTCCAATCGGAGACCTTGATTTATCCATAATAGAGGTCTTTTGGCTTAGATCGCGTAAATATGTGTCGTTAAAACCCGCCACCACCCGACGCAGCGACATATGTATATATTTAGTCGATCTAACCCAAAAAAACACCTCTATTATGGATATTGATCGTGAAAGTCTGCTACGTGTTAAAGTCAATACGATGTCCCTGATTTGCGTGTTCCCCAATCCATGTGTTTTTCTTTCTGTCTCTCGGTGTAATTCCCAGCATGCATCTCTCCCGCGATTCTTTTCCAATTGACAGCTTCCGTTCCATGTCCTTTTTTCGTGTCCACGTTTCTGAGAGAGACGGAAAATGAAAATGTGCAACTCGTTTTTAAACCATGCTGGAGTTTTGTCCGGTGTGTGTTTTTGTGTGTGTGTGTGCTGACAAACGTGGGGAGCGGGAGCGTAGCAGTTAGCGCTACGCTGCGCTATGAACCTAGCGACTCCCACCGTTCTTCAGGACCTCTTTGACGCTTCGCGTGAGGTTATCAAGAGGCCCAACGGGCATTCTTCGTGCTCAAATAGTCTCCTGCATGTGTTGTATCCTTTTCCATTTATTGGTCAAACATATACATAATAATGGGGAATGTATGTGTTGGTCGAGGTGACGGACAGCCCAGTAAACATGGCAGCATTGGGCCAACGTTGCCACGTGATTGGAACAGTGGTCCAGACGTTGGCCCATGTTTACTGGGATGGTCGCCCATTGAACATCTGTGTCATCCAAGCACAGTCTGGAATTTAGATCCGTTTGCAGATGTCTGCCTTCTTGTGAGCATTTTGCTTGTTTTAAGTCTTGTATGGATTTGGATCTCTGATTGTAACCTTTGTGGGGAGCGGTGGTGTAGTGGTTAGCGCGCTGCGCTACGAACCCGGCGACCAGGATTTGATTCCTGCTCACGGCCAACACCAGTGACGATTACCTGAACCGGTCCTGGGCCTCCCCTAGGTCGACTCAACCTCAAATAAGTATCGTCACTGGGGAGACAAAGGCGACCCGACGTGGTGCTGGTCATAGATGCTACTCGCCAACGGCACTTGCCCCAACAGTCTGTTGAGGCTTCACGGGATATCTTTGTCTTTGTAACCTTTTCCCTATTCCCCCCCCCCTCCCCCGTTTTCTCTCACTCACATGTCCCCCCTGCTTTCTCAAGCTAAACAACAACAACGTCTGCTGTGCAGAGATATCTTGTGTTTTCTTCTGCCCCTATGCACACAAGCAGCTTTGGTTTTGTGCAAACAGTTGTAAAACATTGCCAGTGACTTACGGACTTGTTTTCACCGAATGCTGCTCGTTCCTACCCCGTCCTTCACCACACGGTGTGCGTTTGTCAAAAAAGACAAAGATCCCCCGTATAGCCTTAACAGACTGTAGGGGCAAGTGCTGTTAGCGAGCACCTATGAAGGCCGGAACGGTACACGAGGGGGTGGGTGGCCAGCACCACGCCCGACCACCTTTGTCTCCCCAGTGGCGATGTTTACACTTCGCACCAGGTACTCATTTGAGGCTGAGTTGACCTAGGGGAGGCCCAGGACCGTTTCAGATAATCGTCACTGGTGTTGGCCGTGAGCGAGAATCGAACCCGGGTCGCCGGGTTCATAGCGCAGCGCGCTAACCGCTACACTACCGCTCCCCACGACACACACACGCACACACGCACACGCACACACACACACGCGCACACACGCACACGCGCACACGCGCACACACATGCGCACACACACACACGCGCACACACACGCACACACGCATGCAAGCGCACACGCACACGCACACACACGCGCACACACGCACACGCGCACACGCGCACACACATGCGCACACACACACACGCGCACACACGCACACGCGCACACGCGCACACACATGCGCACACACACACACGCGCACACACACGCACACACGCATGCAAGCGCACACGCACACGCACACACACACACGCGCACACACGCACACGCGCACACGCGCACACACATGCGCACACACACACACGCATGCAAGCGCACACGCACGCGCGCGCGCTCGTCTGGAGCTTGGATGTGACTTTAATTGTACGGTGCCAATTTGGAGGTGCGGCAGGGAGTAATCCAGAGACTGGCAGACTGGGTTAGTGGACCACACAGAGATGGCATGGACCCTCCACACATGCTGCACTTGCATAAGGCTGTACCGAAAAGGTAGCTTTAACCCCATGTTTTATAATTTTGAAGGATATAAGATTATTTAATCATTTATAAAATACACACTTTTTTTCCACATTGATATGAGATTCATTTGACCTCACAAGGAGCGCTATTAAAGTAGGCTGCGTATCATGACCTGCACGCATTGCCCTCCCACTTTCCTGGCTTTTAAACCACGCTACTGACACGTGTGGGTCATTTTCACATTTTAAGTGTGACGTGGAAAAATATGCATTTGTTTTATTTTTGAATTAAACCAATTCCATAAACTTAATTTGCAGAAATTAAACACCGTAACAGTGACCTCATAACACGCTGAAAATTCAATGATAATGCCTCATCAGCAGTTACCGGCCGCGGTAGATTACTGGAATGTCTACATGTGGAACACGTAACTCCCCAGCACTGCATATGCACAGGGTGTGTTTATTTTTCGATGGCCACTCCAGTTTCCTCCCGCACATCGCAGAAGCGCTCAAGGAAGTCGCTTAAATGTCTCGAACGTCTTTTGAAAAAACCGTCCGTCTTGGAACGGGTAGGATTTTCCCCGAGGTAAAGAGAGAGAGCACAAGAAAATCATTCAGGGGCAGCGCCGTCGGGGAAGAGAGGAGGGCGCATTTCGGCGGTCGGTATGCGCTCGCATCCATGGGACGGTACCTTTGCTCCATCCCCCGGAGCGAGGTGCATGAGGAGGGTGCGGCCCAACGTGCAAGCCTCAGCGGTTTTTTTTTTGTGTGTGTGTTGTTGTTGTTATCTTCGTCCCAGGGACGCACTTTAAAACCCGGCCGGCTTCGCCTTCGACAGCACGGGGACGGGGCGCGCTCCACGGAATCGCGAGCGCCGCGGAAACGGGGATCATCGCCACCGTTGGGGTCCTACAGCGCCGCCAGATGTGAGTTGAACGACGGTGAGCTGAGTTTTTGTAGTCGTGAATGGCAACGTCGCCATCAGATTGTGAGCTGAACACGATGGTGAGCTGAGTTTTTTGTAGTCGTGAATTGTTTTGGTATAGTTCAAAGTTTTAGAGTTTCCTTTTCTCCAACGAGTGGTAGGTGAAGCTTAGTTTTATTCGCAGCCAAGAGCTGGTTTTGTAAAATTCCAAACTCATATGGAGAGGGTCAGTCTCTCCTGTTGACCTGTTAAAAAAAAGAGGTGCTCAATTTTAGCCATTCGCTTTAAAAACATTACATTTGATCATTTAAAAAATTGCTGGGATTCTTTAACATGTTGGTGGAAAAGCAAGAATTACCGATTGGTTTTTGGCAACAACAACAAAAACTGGTTACCGGAACTTTGTTGTGATTTGGCTCTGGTGTAAAGAACAAGTCGCTTCCTTGCAGCACGTGCACCAGCCGGTATGAGATGCCGGTACGAGAAGTGAACATTTCCCAGAATTTGTCATTTATGGCAGCGACAGCGGAAAATAATTCAAAGCGTTTCATGTAACTGGGGTCGGGGGGGGAGTTATGAATTGAATCTCTTATTTAAAAAAAAAATACTTGGTGATGTTGCGGTCACATTTGCCGAGTGGTGCACAAACACAACCACCAAAAAAAAACTTGACACATTCGTCAACAAAACTGTGGCCTTAAGTTACAAAATGGATAATAGGTGACATTTTGGGCAATGGGCCTCTCTTCGTAGCACATGTATGTATCATGTATGTTGAACTTCTTTCGCACCCAACGTAGCCAATCAGAGTCGCGGGGGGGGGGGATAAACTTACGTAATATTAAAAAGATCCCTTGACTCTCGGATAGTTGTTCTTTGTCGACCATATGATAGAAGCTAACAGATCACAGAGCCAGTGTAAAATATTATAGATTTGAAGTTTTCGTGACTGCAAGGATCCATACTCTTTGGTTTTTTCGGTGAAGTCACGTAGGTGAACAATAAAACAAATGAAAATGAAAAAAAATTATTTGTTTCATATAAATAAATGTATTTGTTTTCATATCAATAAATGTATTTGTTTTAATTTTAATTTGTTTTATTTTTTACCTACGTGACTTTACCGAAAAAACCAAAGAGTATGGTGTAAATATTGTTACAATCTGGCTCTCTGAACAAGCCGAACACTCATCAATGAGCTTGGCCTAACATTCTTAAGACTTGGTGAGGCTTTCCTGGCCAAACTGAATTATTATTATCATTATGATTATTTTTCAAAGTCACGTACACTTTTAATTGCAGAAGTCAAATATTGGTTGGGTTGTAGTTTCAAGTTGGTGAAGTCAAATCAGAACATTCACGTGCATTCTTCGAGAAACGCTTTGTTTACCTTGCCCGGATGGTCTTCTTCCGAGTTCGCGCATCTTGCTGTAGTCAAGTCAAAGTGAGGCGATCATAACAATAGTGGGTTTTCCCCTTTTTTCGGTCAACAAAACTGAAACCTTTTAACAAGGAATCATGCGTGCATTAACCAAAATGCAAACAAAAAACACACTGATAATATATGCAGCTGTACGCCTTTTGGCGTCCTCTGATCTAGCACCAACTGAGACGAGGCTCAAAAGAAAGCCGTCTCTGGTGTGGACCATTCAGTTTCAAGGACAGTGCATATATTATAATATATGCATTGTCAAAAAAACACACAAAAAACACACTGATAATTATCAGTGTTTTTTTTTGCATTTTGACCACAAGTATTGTGATTAATGCAGACATGATTCCTTGTAAAAAGGTTTCAGTTTTGTTGCCAGAAAAAAGGGGAAAAATCCTATTATTATATTTTGGTACTGGCAAAGGAGGTCTCATGATGAGGAGATCATATTGTCTTCTCGGTGGCTTGCTCGTCATCGTAAGATGTTTCTCAAAACGCGTGGCAGAGTCCATTGTCGGCTATGGAGACTTCACGAAGTTTTTTTTTTGCGCGGAGAATGCGATGAAAACAAACAAGCAATCGTCAAGAAGGGAATGTTACCCGGCGGCCTGCAGCTCGTAGGACTAAGCGGACAGACCACACTAGCCTCCCTTGAGTTCACTGAGGCAATGGTTGGAAATTCCACATTCTCATGGTGGGGAACAGTCTCTGTTGAGTTTTTGAGTCAGCTGGCCCGGATTTGGCAAGGACATTTAGCCCGCTCTTCACCCAGGCAACCGGAGAACACAGACTTAGATGTATTTCTTGACTTATCACTCTAACAACAAACGATTCAATATTATGACAAACGCACAATAAAAAAATTGGCATAAACATAACAATTGTGAAGAAATTAAATAAACGGAAAAAATATTGTGCTGTCTGGGACACTTTCCAATATTGATCCAGCATGGGCAGAGTTTGGGAGGTGGGGGCACGGGGGGGGGTGGGCAATGTCCCCCCCCCCCCCAAAAAAAAAACTGCACACCTTTATTAATTTATTTTCAGTAGTTCACAATTAAGATAAAAATGCAAATGAATTATACGCACCCGCGATTCCTAATGTGAGGGACAAAGCGAACGTCTGCCCCCCCTCCCCCCCCAAATATATAAGTCAAACTCCACCGATGCGATCCAGGCTCCTATTTACATCTCACTGGCACGGCCGACTCATCTCCAAGAGGGAAAACAGCTGTTGATGTGCAGCACTTGAAGGCGCCACCTAGCATGGTGTGGTACAATCGGTAAACTTTCACCTTCGTATAGAAATTCGGTTTCAACGAAACCTCGTGTATAAACAGGACAGAGTTTCTCTCTACTAGATGACCACTGTTGCCTCCCCATGAGAGAAACTAAATAATCAACCACATTAGTGTCCTAGACCAGGGGTCGGCAACCTATGGCTCCGGAGCCGCATGCGGCTCTTTACGGGCTGCTTCTTGACGATATGTACGTATGTAGAGTATGTACTCAGATGCATTGCGGCTCTTGAAATACTGAATTTTGTACCGAATTGGAAATAAATGGCTCTTCTTGTTATTTTGGTTGCCGACCCCTGTCCTAGACGAATGCAATCCCACCCCAATGGAATTTAAATTCACAATCTTCCACAACTGAGTCAAACACTTTAACTGCATTGCTACATGGGGCATGGCACAGAGTTATGGGTTATTATTATTATTCAATGACGATGGTGTTAAACGACGTTATTGTCAGACCTTCCGTACACAACCGCTGGTAAATATCGACCCTGAGCTTTTCGTAATAAGGTTCATTTGGACGATTGACAACAAGTCCGCAAGTGTGTACGGACCGGCAGTCACTCAGTAGGGATTCAAATCATCTCCATGATCTCTCTCACTCTCTCTTTAGTATTGGGCAGCATTTATCCCCGCTGTTGATTGTAAGCGAGTGTTGAAATGTCCCATTCCTACAATGGAACCCGGTCTCTCTTTAACGCAACGCTCACTTTGTGAGTTCCCTGTGACCTCATCCGATCTGAGCGCTCCCGTTAGCAGCGGTGTCGATGAGCTGAGTCAACTCCCGGCTGAGAATTCAACGTATTTCTTCAGCTCGGAAGCCCCCCCGCTGTACGACCGAGTGAGCAGTTACCCATTGTCTGAGTGAATGTATTAACCCGTGTGCTGCACCACCGTCCTGGCATCTAAGTCATCTATGAGTGTTTGCACTTGGATAGACCCAGTCACCCTGCCCATGCTTGTTAATCTATAATATCACGTCCGCGTAACCTCCAGACATATACATTCCGAGCAAGTCGTCGTGACCTATTAAAGCGGAATTAACCTTTAACCGCGTCCGTTAGGCTGGCACTCCAATCGGAGAGCACGCATCGCGATCAAGTCATTGGGTTCACGCACGGTCAAGCGTTGACTCGGTCCAGAATTCTTACTGGGTGGATTGAATGAGCACCGCTGCTCAGAAAGTCCACACTACACATTTTCGCGTGAGATAGTAGAATGTGGTGTGCAGTAGGTAAAGCATAGAAAAAGTGGTTCATTTGGGAACGATGACCGAAATCAATGCAAAATTACCATCCAGGCTCAGCAATCCAACCTATTTGTTTGAACAAATTGGCTCCGTTGATGGATGAACCGAGTACTACGCTACCCGCCATCTCGTCGCTAAGCCTGGTCAACAGACCGCCCTATTTTATTTTCTAGCTACGTGACTTTACCGAAAGAACCAACGATTATTGATCCCTGCAGTCACGAAAACTTCAAATCAAGATTGCCTTCGAGGTGATTCAAACCCTCCCACGGAAACCGGGGAGGTGGCAGCGTGCTACCGAACCATTCTCTTGAGGTGCAGCTGCATTGAAACGCTGGTCGCCTCAAATCAAATCGTAATCTCAGAATTGTAAAACAGAGTTCAAATTAAGTTCGCAGGTCAGATTCGCCCATCATACCTCTGGGAGAGATACAAATAAGCGCCACCTCTTGGGACATCGACAGTGGTTTTAATATGGAAACACTTGTCATGTCTATTGGAATATCGGATATATTGTACTGCCTTAAGTATGGAGACAACTCAGGTGTATCTCGGTGAATCTCAGGAATGACCTTTCAGCAGATACTTGGCTAATTTAATTCTTGAGTGTTTGGCTTTGTGTGGAAGAAAGCCAGAGAAAACCCATACATACGAGAGAGTAACACTTATAAGTGAGCATGGGGAAGGGCAGGCTACTGATACAGGCAGGCGAGTAGCCTCCAAGAGTGTGGCATCTAGACCTAATAGCAGATGGTGGGATACTGCTGGGGCAGATATTGTAGGTCGCGTGTCTTCTGCGCAACAGCTGGAGAATTTGGCGGAGGGTAGAAAGTGTTGGCGAGATGTCCTCGCATCAATGACTTTGGCCATGATGACATATTGATCTTGAACCAAGGAATAAGTGGAAATAATATAGTGCAGGAACAAATGATATGTTAACTACCTCGCCTGGCATACAGGAGGTTGTGGGTTCAATCCCGACCAGGATATTTGAAGTTTGCATGTTATCCTCGTAGTCGTGTGGATTTTCCCTCGGATCCACCGGTTTTCCCTCCACATATAAAATCAACGTGCGTTTACAGTAGTTGGCCGCTATAAATGTCCTCGTGATGATAGAGACACTTCATCTTGGGACCTCCTTTGCCAGTACCAAAATATACTAATATGATTTTTCCCCTTTTTTCTGGCAACAAAACTGACACCTTTTGCAAGGAATCATGCTCACATTAACCACAATACTTGCAGTCAAATGCAAAAAAATATATATCAGAGTATTGTTTTTTGTTTGCATTTGACCGCAAGTATTGTGGTTAATTTAAACATGATTCCTTGCAAAAGGTGTCAGTTTTGTTGCCAGAAAAAAGCGGAAAACCCCTATTAGGATAGAGACACTTTTTTGAGCTATCATTTGTGGCCAGTTTACCTCCCAAATATAGCTAAATAGCTCAGTGGGCCTTACCTGGTTAAAATAACAAAAATGTCTTAGCTCATGTACTTCGTTGTTTTTGATGTCGTCGTTGCTGTGGCAGCCGTCGGCGAGTCGGCTCGCGCGTGCGTCCATCCCAAGCGGCCTGGCGCCCCACCGTGGGGACCGTGCCTCTCGAGCAGCGGACGATGGGGGCCAGACGCCTCGAGAACCCCCCGGATGGCGGCTGGGGCTGGGTGGTGGTGGCAAGCTGCTTCATGTCCACGTCGCTCACGCATGGCGTGCAGAAGAGCTTCGGCGTCTTCTTCGTCGAGTTCATCGACTACTTTGACGAGAGCCGCAGCCGCACGGCCTGGATCAACTCCATCATGTACGGCGTCTCCCTCTTCATCGGTGGGTTCGGCGATTTGAGCCGTTGCTGCTTCGTCATCCGCCGCGTCCCGTGGGCGAACACCGCGCGCGAACATCAGTCTGCTCGCTAACGGCAGCATCAGGCCGGCGGTGTGTGACCAATAAGGTCCGGATTGTTCTCTAATAAGGTTGGGCACTGATAAGGCGTTGACAGGTAAGGATTCTAGATTTGAAGCTTTCGTGACTGCAAGGATTCATACTCTTAGGTTTTTTTCGGTAAAGTCACGTAGGTAAAAAAATAAAATTAATTAAAAATAATAATAGAAATAAAATAAAATAATAAATCACGACGTTTCGGAGGCAACACAAGTCTACGTCATCAGGTGGGACCGTCACAGCCAGATTTGCTGGAGGAGGGGTGGGGAGGGGCTTATCTGAATGTGGTAGCCAATGAATGGAACGTATTAGGGGAGGGGGGGGGGGGGGGCTAAAGAGAACAACAGGTGCACATGCTAGAAAAGAACGCCAATGCACATGTTGTTTTTACCCAGTGTTGGTTGGCAATCCAAATACAGGTAAGGAGTTGCCGTTCAGCACTGGGCCTCCGCCGCCTCTGTTTGACTTCCCGTCCCGTGCGTGCGTGTCCTCGGCGTCTCCCTCCCGCGCAGGTCCCCTCGCCGTCACGCTCTCCGCTCGCTTCTCGAGCCGCAGCGTGGTGATGGTCGGCGGCCTCATCTGCGGAGTGGGCACCATGCTCGGCATGCTGGCGCAGAACATCACGCACCTCTACATCACGGTGGGCTTCGTCACGGGTGAGCGCGCGTGCGAGCGAGCGAGGATGGATGAGAGAATCTGCGCGCGCGGCCTCAAGTTTGACGCAAATAATGAAATGATTGAGGCGTTTTCGACAGGCGAATCAACGCATGGCTTACACGTAAACATGTCAACGTGCGGTTCTTCGTGATGAGGCTGAGAAGAACAACGCGCTGAGCTTGGTTTGATGTTGAGCAAGTGTCAGACTGGGATTCGACCACAGAGGGTCTGTGTAGTCCTCTGGCACAGGCACCGAGTAAAGCTCTCCAGTTGCCTGGGTGAAAAGTGGGCCACGTTTTTCCCCAATCCTGACCAGCTGGCTCAGAAATCTTCATTTATCCCTGGGGAAAACCGATAAGCTGCGGTGCTCTCTTTCACGGATGTCCGGCAATAAACAAACCTGGTGTGCCGAGGGCAGGGGTCGGTGCTGCATGCGGCTCTTTCAGGACTGCCCCGTGACTTCATTCACATCGCATTGCGGCTCTTGAAATTTCGAGGTTTTTTTATTTTTTACCCAATTCGAACAAAAAATTGCCCTTCTTGTAATTTTGGTTTGCAGACCCCTGGCCTTAGGGCACCGCCTAACTCAACACAAAATTCAACGCATTCGTCAATGACGCTGCCTTGAGTGACCTTCCTTTTTAAGGCAGTTTTGGCCTTGCGCTCGATTCATGAAGAGGGGCTACCTGATTGGTGGGCGTGGCTATTGTAAAGTGGGCGAGGCTGATGGGGGATGCCAGCTCACCATGTGTCCCAGTTGACAACAAGACAAAGATCCCCTGTATAGCCTTTAACAGGCTGTTTGGGCAAGTGCTGTTAGCGAGCACTGGCACAGCACACGTGGGGGTGGGTGGCCAGCACCACGCCCGACAAGCTTTGTCTCCCCAGTGGCGATGTTCACACACCACACCAGGTACTCGTTTAAGGCTGAGTCGATCTAGGGGAGGCCCAGGACCAGTTCAGATAATCGTCACTGGTGTTGATCATGAGACCGGAATGGAAGCTGGGTCGCCGGGTTCCCAGTTGAGCCCTTCCAAAAATGTGGTAACGTTAACCCCCCCTCCCCTCCCCGAGTCACCTGACCTCCTGACCTCGGTGACCCCGCCGTGCACTGCCCCCCCGAACAGGCGTTGGGAGCGGCATCGCCTACACACTCACCAACGCCGAGGTGGGGCGCTACTTTGACAAGAGGCGAGCGTTTGCGGCCGGAATCGGGGTCTGTGGCAGCGGCGCCTCGTTCATCCTCGCACCGCTTTTCCAGGTGTGCGGCCATCCGCGTGTCCTGAACTTTCATTCGTGCAGTCATTTGTTCGGTCAGAGTTATTTCAGCAGCCTTGAGATGGTTTTTTAAAAAAAATGCATCTCAATTGCTCAGAAAATGCCTGAAATCCCAGGTTGGGTGGATCGCAGATTTCATCATGCGCCGAGGACTGCTAAAATGCAAGCTACCCAATATATATGGTAGTCTAGAAATTGCAACGATATGCTTTTTTTTTGCAAGGTTGCAAAGTTGAATACACGTGGGTGAATTTATTTTCCTCTCGCATGCAAAGAAACACTGATCAAGGCATAATACAGAGTTTGTGTTGATTACACTCTGTTGATATGTTATGACTGACATTCTAATCTTAATTGTAATTATTGATTGGATCTTATTACCAATTGTATCCCAATTGCAGTAGCAGGTCATTTGTGAATGTCTTTAATCAGCAGAGCAAGATGTCAGGGAATGGCCAGGTAAGATGACGACACAGAACCATACAATGGGTTAACACGAAATTTCAATGCAAAACATTGTCGACTGCCTTGTGACTTATATGGTGTCCTCATGTCGTCATAAAAGCTGGCTCTGTTGCCACTTCGGAGGTGCAACAAAACCCAGAACATATCTGGACATTCAAAATATCTAACAATAGCGGATTAAGAAAGAAGGCCTGCATGTGAATGCGTTGTCTTGAGTTGTGTATTATTATGCAACTGACAAAAAAACGCCCAAGACTTTTAATGTCCCGGGCAGACATACATTTCCAAGGACAGCGACCTCAAAGAAAGGACGATCCTGGCAAAACCAGTACGGGTGGAATGCCTCGCGACACCGACACGGCCGCGCATCGCTGCCGTAAATCTCGGCACCGGTCCGGCGCTCTCCTCGGTAACATTCCGTCTTGCCCCCTCCCGCCCTCCGCCGCAGTTCCTCATCGAGCAGTACGGCTGGCGCGGCTCCCTGCTGCTCATCGGCGGCGGCATGCTCAACGTGTGCGCGTGCGGCGCCGTCATCCGCCCGCTGTACCTCAAGTCCGAGGTGGTGGCCCCGAGCCCCGACGCGCCGCGCCGCCTCGCCAACATCCGCGTCGCACTCGCCGAGCAGCGCTCGCACGGCCGCGCCGACGGCACCGGCAAGTCGGCCGACGGCGCCAACGACACCACCGTCGCCGTCGCCGCCACCACGCGCATCGTCCTCCCGCCCGAAGAACCCGACGCCGGTTTGCCGCCCACGCGGCAGCCGCCGGAGGAGCATTCCCCGTACGGGCGCCAGCACAGCACGTTCCGCTCGCGGCTCCACAAGCTGCTGGACCCGACGCTCTTCCGGAACGAGCAGTTCACGCTCTTCCTGGTCTCCAACACGCTCTTCTCGTTCGGCTACCTCATCCCGTACGTGCACCTGGCGGCGCGGGCGCGCGAGCTGGGCGTGGGCGAGGCGAGCGGCGCGCTGCTCCTCTCCGTCATCGGCGGCGTGGAGACGGCGTCGCGCGTCGCCGCCGGCTGGCTCTCCGACTTCAAGCTCGTGAGCCGCTTCGACTTCTACACCATCTGCGTGGCGCTGTGCGCGCTCACGCTCTTCACGGGCCCGCTGTGCCGCACGCTGCCGACGCTGCTCGTCTACGCCGTGTGCTTCGGCCTCTTCGTCGGCTCGTGCCGCTCTCTCGTCATGCCCGTGGCGGCCGACTGCGTCGGGGTGGCGCGCATGCCCAGCGCCTACGGCGTCACCCTCATGTTCCAGAGCGTCGGCATCCTGCTGGGACCCCCCGCGGCAGGTGAGCGGAGCCGGCGGCGTCGTCGTCGTCGCGAGCCACGTCCTGCTGAGCGTGGCTTGCACGGGGTTTCCCATCTTCGCCGGGTAGGATGTCGTGGGCGGCCGCCATTTTTAAACGGGCCCGAGTTATTGACCTAAAAAAAGTAGTTTTTCACAATTTTTTGTCCATAACTATATTTGTATTGTTATTATTTACAATTTTGTTATTTTACCAGGTAAGGACTACCGAGCTATGTAGCTCTTTTTCAGAAGCGGCGAGGCCACAAATGACAGCTCCACGATATGGCTCATCACGTGGCAATTTATAGCAGCGAAATACTCTAAACGTGGAGTGCAAAAACCAGAGGACCGAGAGGAAAATCCGCGGGGAGAACATGCAATCTCCACATAAACAGGCGTCAGGGTTGGGATCGAACCCACGACCTCCTGCATACCAGGCGAGATAGTTAACATCTCGCCAGCGTTGCTGCCCCTATTCGACAAGCCATCCAGCTCTCCGTAAGAATGGCCATCGCTCCACGACGCGACGCATCGTCGCACCCCGAGCCGGGTCCGTTTGGGGCGCCTGTGACCCCGAGCTGTCGGTACACCCCCCCCCCTCCACTCGTCCCCGCAGGCTGGCTCCACGACATCACGGGCAACTACGACATGTCGTTCTACATGGCGGGCGCCGGCCTGGCGCTGTGCGTGCTCATCCTGCTGCTCGACCCCATCGCGAGGAGGCGGCGCCGGCGCCGCTGGCAGAAGGAGCAGGAGCCGGAGACGAGCAGCGACGCGTTCCTGCCGTGCCCCTCCTCGGACGTGTACGAGAAGCCGTCTGCTCTGCCTTGACCGCTGCCCCCCTCCCTTTCCCCCACCTCCTCCTCTGCCCCCCCCCCTCCTTCCCCGAGGTGATTCAAAGCGACTCGATGAGCAGCGCTCATCTCCATCGGTGGCCCTAAGCCAGTGGTGGGAATTCCACATTCCTATGGTAGGGGCCAGTCTCTCCATAGGTGAGTTGATGGCGGCGCATAATGGCCGTGTCGGAGGCACCGAGCCAGCATTGCTGAGGGCATGGGTTCGAATCCGGGTTTTGGTCAATTATGGTGCCAAAAAAAAACCTTTGAGTAGTCAGATTATGTGACTTTACCGAAAGAACCAAGAAGATGAATCCCTGCAGTCACGAAAGCTTTAAATCGAAATTTAGTCAGTTTAATTCAGTTAATTCTGCTTCTGAGGGCTCAAGTGAATGAACACTGTCTATTAGATGAGTGGACACGTGGAAAACCACTCCCTATGTTTGTGAAGTGTGAAGGAGTTGCACGAGTGATGGGCGACCGAGGATAATTGCAGCAACTCCGCATCTGTCGGTGGTGTCACCTTCCAGGGTCTTTCCCTCCCGCGACCTCTTCCTATTTCTAATTTGACTGAGCAGGTTCCAAAGAGGACACTGCCTGACTCTACGCGCACAAAGGGGATGTAGAAGGGGATGAAGCTAAAAGAGCCGAATAAAACGTAAATCATATCAGTTCTGTGGACCAGTAAAAAGTCATAACAATAATAGTGGTTACCCTTTCTGGCAATAAAACGGTTGCGTTAAGATGTTACAACACCATTTGTGCATGCTCACCACAAGCACGTGTGGTTGATGCAGACAGGATTCCTTGATAAAAGAATTATGTTTCGATTTAAAGCTTTCGTGACTGCAGGGATTCATCTTCTTGGTTCTTTCGGTAAAGTCACGTAGAAGGAAAAATAACCTGAGGACGGCTGCTTGCGTTGTGGCCGAAACGTCGTGAGAATTATTTAATTATGTTTTATTTTTATTATTTTATTATTTTCCTTCTCCGTGACTTTACCGAAAAAACCAAGAAAAAAAATAATGGTCGGTGTTTTAACATATTAACACAGCTGTTTTATTGCCAGAAAGGGTGAAACATATTGGGTTTTTTTTTATACTGTCAAGAAAGGCCCAATACAGTGAAAAGTTAGCTAAATGTATTAATGTAGCATTGTGCACCCAGAGAGAACGTGTTCTGTGTTTCTATGGGCAGAGCACGGTTATAATTGCATACACTACTGAGCAGGGTCAATCCTAGGGGGGTCACCCTTGTTGGACGCGAAAGAGAAGATCAAGTGATGTTTGAATATGATTTGAATAAGCAGCAACCATTTATGTAGTCACAATCAGCAATATGTATGTGTGAGTGGACGCTGCATGTAAAATATGAACGAGCAGCGATGTAATGACTCGTACAACCTGCTCTGCTTCTGACAATCCAGGTTCGATTCCTGACCGTGATCTAACCGAACCAGTAATTATTCGCTACGAATACACTGTGGTAACCTGTAGACTGATGGAAAAATACCAAGATAGAAAAAAAATATGAGAAACTTGATCAAGACGATAAAATCCCACCACCAAAAAAAATAATCATGCTCGAAACGAGATCGTGGCCTTTGAACCGAGACAATTCATCGAATCGCTAGGGGCAGGGGCAATTCCTTTGCACGCCCATTCAATGGACTGTGCAACAGTGCGTGTGATAACAATGCACAGGATACACGTGCTGTACAATAGTACAGCACGTGCCCTCAACAAAACCGAAGGCAGTTTCATGCTCAAACGAGCACTAGCCGGCACACACCTCCACTGTTGGTCTTCAGCTGGTGGTGGAAATTCCACATTCCTATGGCAAGGGACAGAGTCTCAAAGGCGTAGCCACCGTTGACCTGCCAACGAACGATTCAGCTTCAAACCAGGTGGATCTCCTTTTCCAAAACCTTGCGATAGGGTTGCCACCTCCGGGTACTAAAGACGGGACACGTAAGAGGAATATCTCTGGAATGACAGAGGACAGAGCCACACGTGAATGCACTGCCTTGAGGTGGTGTACGATTACGCCACCGACAAAAAAAACGAGAGATTTAACGTCCCGGGAAGATGGACAGAATTCCTAGGACAAGCAGCTACCTCGGCAAGAGGACACTCTTGGGAAAAACCAGGACAGGTGGCAACTGCACCGTGGAGGGACGATGATGATGATATCATGCTCCAACAGCTGAGTTACATCCTCATCCTGTCCGCACATGCTCCAAACTCATGTGTAGTGTACTAATTCACAGACACTAGTAGGAGGTACTCTCTCTCTCTTTTATTCCGGCCTCCCACAGCCAGATCGCAGCAGCCCCGACTATGAGTGGGAGCTCGTCCTTTTATCCTGCCCAGTGTGGCCAGGCTCCGCCCTCGGCCCCGCACCCCTCTGGATCTCCCAGAGGGCTCCGTGCTGTGCCCACAGGTCCACTAGAATGGGCTGCTACCCCTAAGTCCATTGTCTACCAATCTCCCAGCGACACGCGCTACAGTGACTCATCCAATGTCACCACACATGTATGGAACATGTGTGTGAATGTGTACACTTTATTCATAAATGTGGTTAGCGCGCTGCGCTACGAACCTGGCGACCCAAGTTCAATTCCCACTCATGGCCAACAGCAGTGACGAATATCTGATCCAGGCTTGGGCCTCCCCTAGTTCTACGCAGCCTAAAATGAGTACCGAGTGTGATGTGTAAACACTGCAACTGGGGAGACAAGGGCGGCCGGGCGTGGTGCTGGCCACCCACCCCCTCATGTATCGTATCGACTATACGGGGGATCTTTGTCTTTATTCATAATCTCATATGCTGTATATATGTGTGTAAAAGGTCAAAAATTGTTTAAAGCAGGACTAAAGATGTCACACAAACCTATTATTAGGTTGTATTATTATTAGGCTTATTGTTAAGCCAAAGTTAAGGTATTATGCATAGTGCCATACAAACATGTGCAATGATGCTGCTGAAATACATTGACAAGTGTGAGTGTGTGTGCCCTAATATAAAAACTGCTTGACTACCCCTTATTGGTTTTTGCCATACCATGCTCACCACAATCACCCGAAGTGATTGTTTTTGCTGATAACACCCATTGATAATCATCAATTATTTAACCAGCAAAGCCTCCTTGGGTTTAAAAACTTTGGGGGGGTTTTCAGGAGCGAGGCTGCATTTGGGAAGTTTGATTTTAAAAGTCCAAATATTAAACGCGCGAGTTAAAAGCTAAAGGATTTGTGTAAACCGTTCGAGAGCGATTTTAAACCCCATAGAGATCAAAGTTTAAAGGTCACAACGCAACCGCGTATTTGAGACCGTATATGATGCCTTTGTTTTTATCGAGGGAAAGCGATTACGTTTTTAGATTGATTCACCGCGTGGGTCCCGACACTTGTAAATATTGCACCTGGAAATTGACAATGTGCGTCAAAGTTCTTGTGATTGGCCGCGATTTGAACCCGCGTAACCCAACTGAATCCAGGTCAGAGCGGGCAGCCGCAAGTGGGGCTAATGTTGCTGCGTTTTGTACAATGCCGGTTTGGAAATTGACAAAAGAAATGCACGCAGCGAGTGTGTGCGTGCCGAACACACGAAGCATAAAAAATACTGGAACCCGAATCCCTTTCACCTTCACAAGGCAATGGGACTTGATGCTGTAACCGATCCAGCACTGACCTGGATTTGAGTCCTGATTTCAGACCTGAAAGCAAATGGCCATTCTGGTTTTATCTTTGTCTCCTGTGACTGCAAAAGTATGCTTTTTCTCCAGGCTTGAAGCCCATCCTCGGGCATCGTTAAATGTTGTACCGTACTTGGCAGTCGTGGACGAGATATCCGTTGTAATGCAACGGTGTATATACATGGGCCGAGAACCTCCACCGTGTGATTGTAGTGGGTGAGGCCTACAGAAGGCTCACCGGAATTAGCTTTGCCCTGTCCTCCCAAGTTTCTTGGAGGAACCTCTCTACTCGTTGCAGAGAGGTTCACGGTTCGATTCTAGCAGGCTGCCCCAGTTAATACTGCGGGGGTCTACGAACCATTCAATAATATTCAACCATTTGTTTCATGGCGGGCGTTAGATATCCCGTGATGTCAGCCGAAAAAAGTAAGCCGTTGCATGCTGGCGTCACGGTAAAATTTTGCCAATTTATTTTTTACAATTACGGCGCAAATTACTCAATTGGCGTTCCGTACATTAACATCGCCCCCCACTGGAACAACTTCAAACTACTTTGAATATAGCCTCGCGCCATCAGAATGTTGCGAATATCAAATGTATGAAATGCCTATTAATAAATGGACGCATCTCGCGCACAATTGGAATATACGTGGCGACACAACGTGAAGGAAAGACATTACAAATGCAGAATAACCGTGGCAATCATCGCACAAGCAGTGCGTCGCCGCGACTACCACAGATCTAATCGTGAAGGAGCCGTTTCGTGAGCACGCATCACATTTGGTGTTGAGAGTCGAGTCGTCCCTTCCATGACTTTGAGTTGCTCTGTGCGCCAAGGAGCTGATGTGCGTGCCGTCGTTTAACACCGCGAAATGAGAGGTACGTGCGAATTCTGTTCACTCCTCGTTATAAATAAATCAATCTACGTACATCTATTTTCCTGTGCCCGAGTCTCTTTATGAAGCGGCACTTTCACACTCGCAGTGCTGACGCGTTGCCAGGATTGCCGATGCTCCACAAAATGCTGCCGTCACTAAGATATTGTACAGGTGCGTGCATGATCCTTTTGCCAATCCACTGCTAGTTGAGGATCCACGTGATGCTGTGCAGTTCACGGAGGGTTGTTTGACCATACTTTACGAAACCGATGGTCACTACGGTATTGGTGGTGACGTGAATAGACATGGGAGCTTAATCGGGTACAACAATTGAATTTGCGTGCACTGCCCTCTGCTGTCTACCGAAGCACTATCCAGGTTCAACCCAGCTTGGCTTCCGAGATGGGGCACGTTGTCTGGGTGATTTTATCGTCTGGTAGATTAAGGGATGACAGCCTGTGTGGAAACCAAGCACTGTGACCGGCGATTCACTCGGTGTCACGTGCACGACACACCC